GAATCGGCCTGTTATGAAACTTGATGTTAAAAACATTATCCGTGTTTGAATGTGGGTGTTTTACGATAGTTCAATTTTGTAGCAATAGCAAGTTATGCGATTATATAAAGTGTAAATTAAAAATCGTCGTAACTCATTTAAAAACTAAGTTATCATCAAAAAAACCCACATACAAATAATGTTCTTACCATCAAGTTTCATAATGAGTCGATACACTTTAATTTTTAAACTAACGGAGCTAAACGTGATGTGCTGAGCGTAAATTTGCTGTTACGTTGTAAGACGGAGATAAAAAATATGTGTGTGGCGTCTTCTTAAGAAGACGTGATAACCCGCATTATATTATATTATATTATATTATATTATATTACACAAGTGCATTATATTATGGTAAATTTTACGTTCAGCAGAACACGTGTAGCTCCGTTAGCTTAAAAATATTAGAGTGAACTGACCTCTTATAAAATTTAAAGGTATCTAGACAACCTCATATGCTTTTTATTTTATATTAAATTTAAAGCGAGTTATGAGTATTTTAAAATTGTAAATTTTTTGAGCATCTTAAAAATACTCCATAACTTGCTTTGAAATTTAAATATAACAAAAAGTATATCAAAATATTTTATTAGTACTCGTATTATGAAAATGTGAAATGTCTTGTGTGGATTATAAATAATATTATTTATTACTAACATTACATCATTCAATAGTCCGCAGCTATAAATAAATAGTTTTGACTGTTGTGTATTTCGTATTTCAGTACTTCTCACTTATAGATTATCATTCGATTATTTATAATGTAAACATTAAATAATATAATAAACTAGTTCAAAGCAATGTTCGAAAGAATCGTTCGGTGATTAGTTATTAGTTATCAGTTATTAATCATTTTGATYATACGATTATTTTTCTTTGATTACTAATCATTCGAGTATTAATTCCCATTACTCATTACTATGAATATGACGTGTCAACACCGATAATTATTACGGATACCTAATTAAAATTTGCTTGTAGTTTTTATCGAATCCATTTGGATTTTTGATATGTCCAGCCGGATAAATTATCATGGATTTCCGATAAGGTTATTATAATCCGCTGAATTACCTCCCTTCCGCCAGTTCGACCGGATTGACGAAACACGCTTAAATTAGGAACGCTTAATTCTAGCGGCCGACCAATTAATTGCCGTTACAGTTGTATAATATTACGCGTATTATTCATCACGTCATAATCATTTAATAATATTGTTCTATCGTACCAAGTTTTCTGGCACGACGTTGTCGCTCGGCAGTTGCTACCACTGTACTTTGGCRAACGGAGTTCCGTACGGACGCATGCGCACTTTCGTTTCTGTGTCCCGCGAACAGCCAGCGCTAGCTAGTCGCAACTTTCGTCATTCTCGCAGATCTGTCAGTCATCCGACATTTTCGAATTTTCGGTTGACTGTTACTGACGTYCGTCGCACGTGGTTGCAAATTTTGTTTTTGCTTATTGCGCAGACGTTTTTTTAATCCAGTTTTACTCGCAACACTCAGGTATGATTGTTTTATTTATGTTATAGCATTATAATTATGTTGTTAATCTTATCTTGTTTGACTTCAACGWCCGAACGGCGGCCGTCGGGGAAGCACACATGTTGGAAAAAACGTGGTTTTAATTTTTTTCCAAATCATTTTGCGTGTGCTACACGCTTCGTGCGCTAATCGAATTTTGTATTTCCCACGTTATTTTTATTGTATAGAGCTATGTCTTGAAAGGTTTTGATGAGTATTTTTACATTTTATTTTTCGTCAAAATTCGTAGGAACGAAAAAAAACGTTACACCGAAGGTCAAATGTYATTTTAGTTGTTGTTTTGATTACTTAAAAATGTTCATAAGAAATATCAGTAGTTTAGGTCTAATTTATTGTTGACAGGTTTTAAACTCTAATATTTCAATTTTTTTCAAGTACAAAAAATCTTGGTAACAATTTAAAAAGTATGAATAAACTTAAATGGTTAGATTGTACATTTTGAATTTTGAGGGACTGCAGTGTGCATTCATCTCTCCCAAGATATAACGTCTATGTAAATTAAAAATATAACTTTATAAATCATCTATAGTTTTTGACCATTTTAAAGTCCTACAGGATAATTATAGGTTATTTTAAAAATATATTGGTACATCATATTAATATTTTGTTTTTATATCATACAAATATTGGATAAAATAAAAAAGGAATGATATATGGACGGTGGTTGGAAAATGTATATTATTTACTTACATTAATAGAATATATATATTGGTATAATCTATCTTAACTAATTATTCTAAAAAAAAAAAAAAACATTGAAAAAAAATATTATATTTTGTTTGCAACTACCTATGACCCTCATATTCTCAAACCTATCACTGATCACTGAGTCTCTACCTCTCTACATACAATATAATAACACTTAAATGTATGTCTTTTAGTTACTTACAATATTTTTTATGGTAACCACTATTTATTTTTATATAAAATTGCATACATTCTGTCTAATGTTACTTCTATGTTTACTATTGTATAAAATAATCTTATGAATACCTAAATAATGAATGTAAGATGAATTAACAATAATACCTATGTATAATTAATAGAATAATGTAATAATATTTACATACCTATAAAAAATCACCCTTTTTCAGGTATCAACATGTTATCATTCTTTTGTTTTCTGCGAGCATTAGCTGAATAAGGCTTTAATGGCCTTATTGTGTCAATATCAGTACAATTTTTGATAAGACTGCTAAATAAAAATTTAATATTGAATATAATCTTGTAAATTATTTCGTATTTTAATGCTTACCAAATAAGATAAAATATGTGTTTAGTACTCAAAATACAAAATATTTTTTTCCCTTTTTACTAATTTTCTAAAATTGTGTGAACGAGTTGATGTGGTGAAATKATTTTGCCAAAATCTCCTTGGTCTTCCCACCTTCCAATTGCTGGGTTTCCAGTCAACTGGTCTGAATTAATTTTAAAAATATGTATTTAAAGTACATTAATGTTTCAAACAAATTAATACATATAATATATCAAATTATCAATATAGATATTGGAATAACGTAATATATATCAATAAATTATTTTTTAACAACTTAAGTTTAAAGCAATTTAACTCTTCAAAAGAATTACAAAAAGTTCAAGTTTCATCAATTAGTATGTAACATATTAACAACTAATATTACACTGATAATTATTACTGTAAAGCATAACTTTTTTTGTTGTTTCTCAATTCTATCTATTTTTGTTGTCATATTTTTAATTTCTATTTGATGTTGGCAACAGAACATATAAGGGATTTAAGTACTTCTAAAAACAAACAAAACATTATTAATTAGATATTAACATATATAATCCAAAATGTATCCGCTCTATTTTATTTATTTTAGTTCTACCCATTACTATTATTACTACTCATTATTAATAAATTAATATAAATAAGTAACTAWTAAAAATTACCATTTATAAAAATTTGTTTTGAATCATTAGTAACATTATTCTCATTCATATTTGAGTTGGTTAACTTTTAGTGTGCTGGATCCTTAAAAATAATTTGATAAGTACCTACAATAAATATTAAAAATAAATAAATTCTAATCTTACTAAGATAATGGCTATAATATTATAATAGTGTGTTTTAAATTATAATTACATTCACTTGTTCTATTGTCACTGATATTACATTTAAATAAGTCATCTTGTATTTTATTGTCTCAAGGTGTAGATGTTTCATTAACATATTTTATGTGCCATATTGTTATTTATTTTATAATTAAAATATAGATCACTATCAACTAGTCCTTAAATTTAAAAATTTAAAATTGAGTTTTAATTTAAATATTATACATCCATATTCATTTAAACATTACTAATTTGTTTCAGTATTTTTGATATGATCAAATGTTAATAACCTATATTTTAAAAATAAATATGTTATAGGTACATTTAGGTCTAATTATTTACTATTAATATAATATTAGACTATAATAGAAATAACAACACATAACTACAAAATATGGAAGGTGTACAAGGCTGCCCGCAGACATTTTTCTCCGGGGGGGGGGGCAGAGTAAAAATATTATACACTTAATATAAATTCTGTTTTTTATATCACATCATAAAAGAAATATTTATTATAATATAGTAAGTGTATAATATTATGTTGTTGTTATAAATAAGCCTGTATAGTAAAAAAAAAAAAAAAATAATAAATTCATGATTCATTGATCATTATTGTCAAATAAAAATTGAACACACTGTTTCCATGCAGAAAAGCATAATTGTATGTGAATTCAATGTTAGATAGTTGACTTTTTAAAATATCACTATGAATGTACATTAGTTAGTTATTACATTATACATATATTATAATTAAAGACMGGATTTTGCATAAAACACATGTTGCTATTTTCAACATCACATGCATGCAGTCAATGAGAGTCCACAAATCATTACTTGATTGATTAAATATCAAAATGATATTTTGCATTTTTTTGCATATCTGACATTAATGCATGTTCTTCATATTTTTTGCATATTTTAACAAAAACCGTACAAATATGCACCTAACAATCCCAAAAGGTATTGAGCAAAAAAAAAACACAGATCATAGGTATGTTTATATAATATCAAACATTTTTTGTCTCAAGAATATTCGGACGCTTTAAATAGTTCCATAGGTTGGTTGTACCTAAACTAACCTTGAAACCTCTAATTTGTCCCTTGCAGACTC